TTTGGGCAAACATTTCCACCCCTCCCCATCTGTCTTTAATGCGCCAGCTGCAAAACAACAACAACAACAACAAAAAACAACAACAACCCAACAACAACAAAACTACGGCATAGCTGTTCTCAAGGTTACCTATATTGCCAAAGGTTTAGGGTTCGATTCGCTAGAGACGCCATGTGCTTGCCCTGGTTCCTGTACATCTGATTCTGTACCCAGGAACCCAGGAAACAGTGATCTGAAGGGAGTCCTGAAATTCCAGTATAGCTTTTAAGTGTACCGTCTGGTCACCACGTCATTAATTGCTGACTCATCAGTTTCACCTTGAACGCCTTGGTGCAGTCTCAGTTTGAGTCAATAGCTCATCTACAAACTTTCAGTTTCATTCTAAGGTGACTTTTTGTTGAGCATCTAGATATTTCCGCTGGGAAGTTGTATTCCTTTCAGCCGGTGTGTCAAGGGTGCGCCGTGTGTGCTCATTTGGTATTGTGATTGGTTATTGTATGAATGATCCCGGTTCAAATTTCCAAAATGGGTGTTTCTGAAGTTTGGTTATTTTTGGACTTTTCAAAGGCTCTCATCTTTCATGGTTTGGCTCTGTCGGAGATGAACACCGACAACATATGTGGAGTGTCCCACATCTTAATGACCAACTATTCAATATCTTAATGACCAAGTTCAATATATCTTAATGGCCAACCGTTCAATTTATATTCGGGGCGGGGCGCATGCGCACCGCACTATAGGATAAGAAGCCTACAGCGTGTTATATTGGTCTGACTCGGTTTTTGAGACGAGCCGAGTCGCTCCATCATGCAGGAAAAGTGTGTAGTTAGTGGACGTCTGACTCAGATTGCGGCCTCTGCCTTACACGTACTGCTACACAGACAGCTGGCAACACGCCTATCTCGGACAGCCAAATGGATCTGAATCAGTCGTTGCGACTGCCAGTAGTTTACAAATCGCACGTATGCGTGGGTAGTTACAGGACTCCTGCGTTAGGCGTTTCTTCTTCTTCTTCTTCTTTTTTTTTCTCCTTTTTCCTTTTTTTGTTGCCACCTGTGTTTACTGTTTGTGCACCTTTTCCAGGACTAAATGATTTTATATTATGCTAATGTGCTTCCCTTTTTATTACCTCAACTAAACAAATAGAAACAAAAAGGTG